TGGCTGTGTCAGGCTGGGGCCCTGTCCTTCTGCACCCAAAGGGGAAAATGTGTCCCAAGGAGAGTGACTTTGGTGACACGAATGAATTAAAATCACCGCTCACCTCCATGTTCCCCCACGTCTGCAGGGCTGGGAGGGCTGTGGGGTTTCTCTGGGGACATTTGGGGCACGCTGGGAGGTCTGAGGAGGACACATGAGACCCCACACTCCCCTGCGTGTGATGGAGATGATTTTAAGTACAAAGTCTTGTTTCCCCCAGGTCTGAAAGGGACGGTGGTCCCACAGCTGGTGAGCAACCCTGAATCCCCGGGCCAGGCTGGGGAGGTGCCCGCTGCCAAGCCCAAGAAGAGGAAAAAGGACCCAGTGCCCGGTGAGTGTCCGTGGGGGCTCTGGGACGGGGTCTGAAGCCGAAATCTGCCACCTGGCTGGCACAACCTCGGGGCCAACAGCCCCACTGGGCTCGTAGCCAGCCGTGTGTCAGCACAGGGCTTTGGGGAGGCTCCCACCTAAGGAGAGAGGCGACTTCTCCATCCCACCCACCCCACCGTGGCAGGGACCCCCACATCGGGTGCCCTTGGACCCCCAGGATTCATGCACTGATGCTTTTTGATCCCACCCCGCAGGGACGCAGGCGTCCGGCCCCATCCTGGCCCAGGACCCCGCTCGCAGCACCCCCAGGAGGAACAGCCTGAGGAAACCGCCTGGAGCCTCCGCGCTGAAGAGACAAGGTGAGGTCGGGATGGCCACAGCCCTCACCCTGCAGAGGGCACAGATGAGCCCTCGTGCTCTCAGAGGCAAAATTTGGGCTCAGGTGCCTCAGTGGTGCTGGGTTTCTGGATCAGATTCTGCTGGGAAGCAAGGTCTGGTGCAGGGAGCATCGCAGCGGGGATGGGGATGGGAATTTGGGTCACCCTGGCTGCCTTGGGGAGAGCACTGGGGGCACGGATGTGGTACCTGAGCAGCCTGCTGCATGTTTATGTGTGTTTACGTGTGTTTATATGTGTTTCTATGTTTATTTGTGTTTATATATGATATTTGGAGAGGGAAGGGTCAGCCCAACACCATGAAATCCTGTGTGTTTTCCCAGCAACACAGAGTCCTTTATGGAAAGCCTCTCTGTGCTGGCAATGGCCTGGGTAGCAGCTTTGGTTTGGTGCTTTTGCTCCTCTTAGCTGTACTTTTGGCCTAGAAAATGGTACAAATCTCCTCTGTTTCCCCTCTCCCAGAGCACAGCAACCTCACCCCATGCCTTGGGGAGCGGGGTTGATGCTCTGAGGGAGTGTGAGGACACATTGGGTCCTGCTCCCAGGGATGGGCGCTGTGGAAGCTGCTCCTGGTGAGACACCGTAACCACCCCATGGTGCCGTGGTGGCTCTTCTGGGCACTTTCCTCCTGTGCTGATGCCGATTTCTGGTTTCCCTCGCAGGCTGTGCCCAGCTGCTGGACGAGTCGCAGGTGTCCCTCTCCTTCCAGGACTGGCTGGCCAGCGTCACCGAGCGCATCCACCAAACCATGCACTACCAGTTTGAGGGTAGGGCTGGGGGACACCACAGCTGGGACCAAACGTTGTTTTACCTTGGGAAGTTTTTATTGGCTTGGATTCATTCCCTGAACATGGACTTGGTGCTCCTCAGCAGCCTGGGGTTGGTGTTTGTGATGGAGAGGGAGAAATGCCCTAATTATAAGTGGTAATTAGTGCCTGAATTCAGGCATTGCTTCACCTCTTCTGCACGGGGTTTGGTGTTACACAGCCCCCACCCAGCCCCTCAGCAGCAGCATCCCCACAAATTAGGGAATAGAGGGACCAAAAACCTCAAAGAGCAGAATCCCCCAGGCCTGGGCAGACTGGGACATACTGGGACACACTGGGACAGGGCCACAGAGGTGATGTGGGCTCCAGCAGAGCCAGGGCTGTTCCCTGCAGCACAGACAGCTTGGGCTGCGTCACTCAAGGGGAAGGGGTCCCCAAACCCCTCACTAGCCCAGATGGTGCTGGTTTGCTGTCTGAGGGGTGTGTGGGGAGGCACCAGACTCCAAATTCAATAAAATATTTGACTCAGGGTGCTCAGGCCCTGGCAATGTGGAGGCTCCAGACACAATCACAACCGGGACAGGAGTGGGATGGGGTTGAATAACGCAGCCCCCCGTTTTTCCCCCAAAAGACCCCCATCTCCGTGTCCATCCCACAGGCAAGCCTGAGCCGCTGGTGTTCCACATCCCGCAGGCCTTCTTCGATGCCCTGCAGCAGAGGATCTCCAGCGGCAGCACGAAGAAGAGGCTGCCCAACTCCACCACAGGTGGGACGGGCACATCTGGACACCACAGGGGCACATCTGGGCACCACAGGGGCACATCTGGATAAATAGGGGCACATCTGG